AATATGCAGTGTGTCTGCAGACCCAGAAAACCACATCGGATCCATAGTTTACACTCAGTTTGAATTTGGGACGTGGAGTTGTCATAAGTGCATCTGATTTACACACTCCTGTGTGCTCTCTCTGTTTAAGGCAGCTCCAAGCACAAGTGGACAAGAAGGAAATGTCAGGAATGTCAAGCAAAGACGAGGAAAGAGGACAAGTCACGAAGATGGAGAAGAAGGAAAGGGACTTTGGGCACAGTGACCTCCCTGTAATCAGATCTCAGGTCATGTAATGACACTGTATGGGATCTCGAGCCTTTTAATACCTTGTGCAGCGTGACCACCCTGTAATCAGGGTTCAGGTCTGTGCTGTATTGTCCTTTTTACATTATGCTCCGTTAGCTGGCTAGTCAGAGTGACTGCCCTGTAACCAGGGTGCAAGTCACCTCCCCCTGGCTTTCGAGTGAATTGAGCTCTTCGGTAACGTGAGCAATGTGACCGCCCTGTAACTAGGGTCCAGGTCTTTGCCCACTTGCTCGTTTGGCATTACGCCGTGCTCTGGCCCACTAGTCAGCATGACAACCCTGTAATCAGGGTGCATGTCACAAGTATCCATAGAATCGGACATATTGTGCCCTTTGATACTTTGAGGAGCTTGACCTTCCTGTAATTCAGGTTACGGTCTCTGCTATTTGGATAATCCCAGTGACCACCCTCTAATCAGGGTACAGGTTGCATCTCTCTTTTGAAATCTGGGGGATTAGAACTATGGGCAGCTTGACCTCCCTGTAACTAGGGTTTGGTCTCCGAGGCCCTTTGAGTCTCTTGGCATTGTGCTTTCTTCACAGTGTGAGGTGAGTGACCAACCTGTAATCAGGGAATCTGGTCTTTGCCTTGAGTCTCTTGGCAGTCGGCCGAGTACAGCCAGCTGGTCTGCATGAGCACCCTGTAAACAGGGTACAGGTCTCATCAGACACTATTTATGGTGCCCCCATGAAACTGTGTCCAGAGTCCTGGCCCTTCGCACTGCACTTCCAACTTGCCGGGAATTCTGCAGCCAAGTCTCCTGCTTTCTTCCTCACGTACTGTGCTCTTGGAGACCCAACATCCTGCTCACGTTGCAGGTAAGCTATGAAAGAGAGGGTTCCATGGAACCTTTGTAATAAATCTTTTTTTGTACAGTTTTCCTTTTTCAGTTAATTTTGGTATCAATGTTTGTTAACTCTATGTTGCTCTCAATCATCTAATTCCTGATGATTTTGTATGAAGAGTTTTGAACTGCTTGGTGCAGTAGTTGTCAACAAGTAATTTGGAGAGTTTGGCTTTTAGATAGGATTTATTTTGTAACATTCCTGTTCCTTTTTGCTTTCTGTGTATTCTGGTAATTTAGGGAGTCAGCTAGATTTACTTTTCTTAAAATACATATTTAGTCACTTTTAGTTATTCCCCTTTTACATTTGAGGCTTGTTCTCTGCAAATATACATTTTCATTTGTTATTCTGTACATCTGTCCACTTTATTGGTGCATTCCAGAGTTTGAAATGAATACCAGCAATTTGAAAATTAATCTTTTATTTCAATAACTGAATCAGTACTTTATCTTTTTTAATTTTATTTTGTACTGTCTTTAAACATTTAACATGTTTCGGTTATTTTTATCTAGAATTTCAAATGGCATTGCAAGTCTGCTATAACTGTCTTGCACACTCTTTACATCCTCTTAAGAGAATTGGACAAAACAGAAGCAGCCAACTTAAAAACAAGAAAAGAGATGCTAACCACCTGTGAAGAAGAAGAAAGGAAACAAATTCTGAGAGTAAAGTACAGTTGTGTGATCTATTTCAAAGGTAAATCATACTATAAATTCTCATAATGAATATAAATTCATCTAATATAGTTCATTAATAATTTCCTTAAGCAATATTAAATATTTATTGTGTAATGTAATTAACATAGCTTTAAAATAATATTTTTGTTTGCTCTTCTGGTTTATACCATGTCCATAGTATATAAATACATTGGAAGGATAAAGTGAACAACGTGACTAGTATCTGTTACCTTTCGAATGCTGATTAATGTTAATAGGCAGTATATAACAAACTCTGAAGCTCAATTACTTGTGGCATCACAAAACTGAAGAGTAGAAAACAGTTTCCTTCTACAATCTTTCAATTCAGTAACTACCTCTGCCACATGAGAACTGATATGTTATCTTATTTTATAATGATGTATGTCCTCTCAAATTGTCTTTTCTAATGAGTCCATAAAGCATGCTTTGTGCATCATACTTTCATATTCTGGTAGAAAAGCGGGATGTATCTTTTTTATTTAATTCAAGAAACTTAATCTTTACTTGGCTTTCATGACATTGCTTGATGATTTGGGCTTCTGTTTAGCAAGCAGTCAGACTTACTTTCATAAAGTCTGTGTTGGCTACAGAAGAAAAGTTATTTGAAAATGATAGAAGAAAACTGAGATGTTGGGTGTGGGTGGCCACCCTGAAGAGTGTTGGAAGATCTTTTCCAGTAGGCACACTATTAATATTTCTCCCAGTTGATAAGAAAGCCCATTTTTATACCAAAATAGTACCATAGCTATGATGCCATATGGAATTTAACTAAGTTTCTACCTATCACCAATTAGAAATCGTCAATAGAACTGGTTATTTGCATCTAAATGTTGATTTCATATACCTATGTAACCAAGTATTTAAAATGTGTTTTACCAGGTGACTACCTGATTTTATGTAAAATAGTTATACACATCTTAGAAGATGTGCTCCTTTGACTTAAGTGTGTGACTTTTATATAGTTGGGCGACTAATGCTTTATGTACTTTTTGTTTTTACTAACAGATTTGTCACTAAGCACCAAGGAATAATTGTGAATCTGTAATGCAGAGACCTTAATCACGCAAGCACTATAGGATCATAGCTCACTATTATTAAAAATAAATAATAATTTCCTATTGGAAATACAAAGATGTAACTGAAGGGAAGGCATGTGTTTGTATTCTCCACTCATCCTCAATTCCTCTCTTCACCCCCCCCCAAATTCAAAAATAATTATGGTGGAAAGATTAACATTTACTCCAGGTAACACCCACCTTAATATTTTAAAGCTCTGTATCTCTCACACATTGCTAAAAAACAAGCAAACAAAATTAAATGTTCTGGAAACTGGCAGTTACTCCTCCAACTTCACAACTTTCAAACATCTACTCTACTTCAACGGTCACACCAACCAAACTGTACCACACATTCAATTTTAACTTTGCACCTATTGTGTCAGAACAGTTAGAGTATTTTTTGGTAGTTGTGTATATTGATGTACGTGGTAATAGTGGTGTTTTAATAGGTTTTTATGCTTAGTGAATTAAGAGGATGTTGGAGGATGATGATGTGGATGTTTTATGTAGGTATTTTTCTGTTGTTAGTATTTGTGTAGAGGTGAAGTATTTTGTGGTGATGACTGTTTTTCAGGTATTGGTTTAGTGTGAATTGTTGAAAAATTTAGATGATTTTTGCATATGTACATTATTAGATGGACTTAGAGGGCAACGTTGAGGTTGCCTGTTTGGTGCAATTTTATTGGTGTGAAAGTTAATAAATAAATAAAAATAAAGTTAATTTAGAGTACGTGTTTGAAAGCCCTGATGTTTGAATTTTAAGCTCAACAGGGATCCAGGACCCACCTCAGTTCTTACTGTCATTCCTAATTCCAAAATCTGGGATGAAGATGACCCGGCAGAATAAAGATATCTCCAGAGACTTTCAGGAGTTTAGCATTTCTGCAGCTTTACGGGATTCCTTAAATCTTATTGAGTTTTACGAAGTGTAATAATTGTGGGAAACTTCTGCTTCTGCCAGTTAAGTGTTGAACAATGACCTATATTAAGAGATTTATACTGACAGTTAATTCTGTTCTGTACTAAGATGATTTTGCTAATATCTCCACTTTATGATGTGTGAAATGAGTTAACTAGGTTTGATTATACCTACTTGACAAAAGTTGGAATACTTCATGTTTAATTCATAGATTTAACTTTGACTGTCATACCACATTACTTTGCTTTCTGTAACTCTGTATTTATTAATATTTATGTAATTCAATTAATAAAATGTATACATTCAGGTATAGTCTCAGTTCTGTCTTTGGCTAAATAAAAAGGAATCTGGTAAACTTGTGAAGAATTTTGGTATCATTAATTTTAATTTAATTATCATCTTTTTACCCTTTTTTGTGTGGTCATTGGAAGTAACTATCCTGTAATGTTGCAAGTTTCATTTTTCTCTTACATCACACATTTTTTGGCAGATAGCAGTGTGGTCCTCTGGCAAGGTCCTCAGCGCTGTCTGCAACATTCCAGTTCAGAATTTTTTTTAAGTTGATTAATATAATATTTGTATATTTAATTCAATCTCATGTTTGTCAGACATTAACTTTTACAGTGTACTAATTTTTTAATAAGCTGCTACATGTGAGGAAGTGTGGTCTAGTGGTTTAAAGTACTGGCTTGGGATTCAGGAGACCTGGTTTCTATTCCTGGCTGTGCTACTGGTCCACTGTCTGTCCTTGGGCAAGTCACTACACCTACCTGTGCCAGTTTACCCATCTGTTTAAAAAAAAAGGGGGGGAGATGGTGGTGAGATGATTGTACTCACCTCATTTGTGAAGTGTTTTGAGAGCTGTAAAAAGCACTAAACAGAATTTTTACTAAAAATGAGACTCCACATGGGTGGGAGAGAACTAGAGATTATCTTTGGTAAGGGTGCATAAAGATATAATTCACTAAATAAGTATTAATTATGCTAATGTTGTAAAGAAAACTATCTTGGTGAATAATGAATGGAAACACTTTCTCACGCTTGGCATTTGTTAATTCATTTCTAGTGTACCAGATGCTTTTTGTTCCACTGAAATATGTATGGGGATACACTTTTGATTTATTAATCTTGCTCTATGATTTATTATTCAAAAATGGGCAACTTGAAAAGCAAGTACTCAATATTAGGTGATTGTTCACCCATTGTACAAAAAGTCTAAGGCAGAGATAGTCAACAGATAGACCACTGCCAAATCTGGATTGCCAGCTGCTTTTGAATGTACCCTAAAATATTTTTATTTACTTATTATTTATTTTCTCTGGAGTCTGGACCTTGACTATACCTTGACCAAGAAATTTGGACCATGATAAAAAAAATGGACTACCCCTGGTCCAAAGAATGGCAAAGGCTAAAGGAAGCTGTGTTCGTCTGTATTTGCAAAAAGAACAGGAGTACTTGTGGCACCTTAGAGACTAACAAATTTGTTAGTCTCTAAGGTGCCACAAGTACTCCTGT